TAGAGACGGGGTTTCACCATGTTGGCCAGGATGGTCTCGATCTCTTGACCTCGTGATCTGCCCGCCTCGGCCTCCCAAAGTGCTAGGATTACAGGTGTGAGGCACCACGCCTGGCCCAGAATTTTTTTTTTTTTTTTAAGATGAAGTCTCACTCTGTTGCCCAGGCTGGAGTGCAGTGGCGTGATCATGGCTCACTGTAATCTCCATCTCCAGGATTCAAGCGATTCTCCTGCCTTAGCCTCCTGAGTAGCTGGTATTACAGGCACCCACCACCACACCCAGCTCATTTTTTCATATTTTTAGTAGAGATGGGGTTTCACCATGTTGGCCAGGCTGATCTCAAACTCCTAACCTCAAGTGATCCTCCTGGCTTGGCCTCCCAAAGTGCTGGCACTATAGGCATGAGTCAACACACCCAGCCTCATTCCAGAACTTTTTAAGGCATGTACCAGCCAACACACACACAAATATATTTTTCCCTCCACCATCCTTCCTCAGAAAACACTATAAATACTGCTTTGCAACTTGATTGTTTTCGTAATATAGCTTGGAGATTTTTTCAGATCAGTCCTTACAGACTTACTCATTTTTTTTTAACCCATAAAGCAGCTGCTTTTTCATTTAATATGCTTGAATGGCTCTAACTTGACCTTCAAAATCTGCTTATGAGAAATGTTCCTTAGTAATAGAATAGGAATATAAGGCAAAAGTTATGATGACAGAGATTAGGTTTTGCAGGAAATGGGCCTTGCCCTTTTCAACCTCAAAGAGGCAAAGGTCTATGCATCTCAAGGCAAAAACATTCCTTTGTTTAGTTTATATGCTCTGCGATCAGCTGAGGTGTAATAATGTGGGTTTGCTGGATTCAGATTAAAGGCTGGCCTTACCTTTGAGGGTGGGAACAAGGCCACCTACATGGTGAGATGAGAGGGGCACCAAGTCCTGTCTCCTCAAAGTTGTCCCCTTCTCATCCCCAACACCTGGAGTTTCCACACTAGAATCATCCGAGGGAGAGAGGATGATGTCCATCCCAGAGGGCCCTGGGTTAAAACCCACGTTGCCGGGTAAGCTCAATACACGAATCCATCATAGACCATAGTGTGGGGCCTTCAAGAATTGAGGTCTATGCCAGGCCAGTCCTGGGGGGAGGGTGACTCAAGAAAGATGGAGCATGAGAGCTGCCGGGCACACAGGGCAGCAAAGGCATGGTGGCTGCAAAGGGCAAGGCAGGTGCAAATGCAGATACGGAGGCAGAGGAAAGTCAGAGACAAAGTCCTCCTGCTTCTCATGTTTGTCCAGGCAAGGCCCTAGACTGACGACAAGAGAAATGCCACCCTAGACACCTCCAAGGACCGTCTGTCCCAGCCAGGAGTCAGTGGGCACTGTCACCGGTGGCCCTGCTCTCTGTGTACCTGAACAGCCTTAACTGTCTTTAACACAATATGGCTCCATCATTCATCAATTTGTTGAAACACTCTTTGAATGGTTTTAATTTTTTACGCTAAACCACCTCTTAGCCAATAAAGTCAATGTTTATCTGTTGCATAAAGTGCTATTTCATCTATGCGCAAGTTTTATTTTGCTTTAAAATGCTGTATATGCAAGGTATTTTTATTATTACTGTCATTATAACACCAGAAACTCTGCTACTGGGTAGAGGGAGGCCACACGTTCTCCTTTCCCCAGTTTCCCAGAAAAAAATTCTGTCAGAAATGTGATAGGTTTGTCAAATATACATAAAATAAATTATGTATGGCCAGGTGTGGTAGCTCACACCTGTAATCCCAGCACTTTGGGAGGCTGAAGGAGGTAGATCACTTGAGGTCAGGAGTTCAAGACCAGCCTAGCCAACATGATGAAACCCCGTCTCTACTAAAAATACAAAGCTTAGCCAGGTGTGGTGGTGCATGCCTGTAATCCCAGCTACCCTAGAGGCTAAGGCAGGAGAATCGCTTGAACTCAGGAGGTGGAGGCTGCAGTGAGCCAAGATCATGCCACTGAACTCCAGCCTGGGTGACAGAGTGAAACTCTGTCTCAAAAATAAATAAATAAATAAATAAAATTATGTAAATTGTGAACCAGGAGCCCGAGTTCTAGCTATTCTAGTAGAATTATGAATTACACATTTTTATTAAGATAGAAAATAACCCCACACCACTGCAGTGTCCAGATAATCTATGCCTTCTTTTCCGTGTCCTCTCCCTGCCACACTCCTAACACTGGGGCCACACCACCCCTATATTCCCTACCACCCTCACCAGCGAATGTGGAAGACATCCTCTTTGTAAGTATCTTAAACCAGTAACCAAATATTTCTAAATATTTTTGTGTACAATTTCCCAAATTTAATTTCAAGGGGGCAGTGGGAAAAATCATGCTTACCATCTTCTGTACAAAAATAAAGTCTTTGCTGTAAGCGGCTAGTGCTTTGTTAAACAGTTTTCTTTCTAGGGAGGTCCACTTGTCCGAACCTACAACGAAACACAAACCTCATAAGAACAACTCACAGTTTCCCCTGTTTTTAGTTGTTTGTTCATTTAGCTAAGTTACAAAATACAACTGTGATATAATACATACCAAACTCCCATTTGAACAAAAAGATAGTGTGATATAATGGTTAGGAGCTTTGACACCTGGGTTCAAATCCCAGCTATGGCGTTGACCTTGGCAAGTTACTCATCCTAAGCCTTTTTTGTTACCTACAAATGGGAATAATTATAATTGCCTCCACTGATTAGGATTTTTGTGAAAGTTAAAGAAGATAATGCAAAAAAATTCCCAGCATAATCACGGGGGAACAGTGAGCATTCAACAAATTTTAGGTACAGTTTTAACACAATTATTATATTCACAAATAAAAACATTCATGTAGCAAGTACCCTTCAGGGTGTGGATGGATTCACCCTCCACCCTCAAGATGCCTACAATCTACTTGGGAGACAAACCAGGAGGCCGTGACGTTCAAGGTGGTAACTATAATTATTCAGGTAAAGGTGAGATGCCAGTGGGGCACATAGGGGAAACACCACACTTAGGTTAGGACCACAGCAGCCAGGAAGGATTCCAGGTAAAGAAAACATCTGAGTTGAGTTTTAAAGGTTATATAGAAGCAAGTCAGACAATAAGGAGATGGAAGAGTATTCTGGGGAGAGGAAGCAGGATGTGCAAAGTCAGAGGCAAGAGGGAAGTCATGCACTTCAGCCATTCATTCAACAGATATTTATTAGGTGCATATTATAAGCAAGATGCTGTGCTAGGAAAAAATAGCATTAACATTTCTATTTTTTTTTTTTTTTTGAGATGGAGTTTTGCTCTTGTTGCCCAGGCTGGAGTGCAATGGCACGATTTTGGCTCACTGCAACCTCCAACTCCTGGATTCAAGTGATTCTCCTGCCTCAGCCTCCTGAATAGCTTGAATTACAGACATGTGCCACCATGCCCAGCTAATTTTGTGTTTTTAGTAGAGACGGGGTTTCTCCATGTTGGTCAGACTGGTCTTGAACTCCCAGCCTCAGGTGATCTGCCCGCCTTGGCCTCCCAAAGTGCTGGGATTACAGGCATAAGCCACCGCGCCCGGTCAGCATTAACATTTCTAAGTGCTTACTATATGCCCCGTTCTAAGTACTTCAGTTATTCATTATTAGGTTCTATTAACAATCCTGTAAGATTATGATGATGATAAGCCCATTTGACAGATGAGGAAATGGAGGTTTTTAAAGAACAACTAGTAATCTAATCTGGTTCCAGTATAAGGTTCCAGTAGTAGCAGATGAGGCTGGAGAGGTGAGTGGGGCCAGTTCTTGACAGATTTGCTGACTGAAGAGGGAGAGGCTTCACTGCTGGACTGCTGCATCTGCCTTACTGGCTAAACCTGATCTTCATGTCTTTTTCCTCCAAGAAAGAAAGCAGGATATGCAGATAATAATATAAAATGGTACTGGCTTGTTTAGGGCAAGAAATAAGGCTTACTTCTAAGGGGACTCCTATTTCTGGGGGCTCTAGGGAAGGTTCAACCACTGAGGCTGGTTCAGGAAAACTCAGTCTTGTTCTTCTGGCCTGCTGAATTTTCACATCTCTTATTCTTTGGATGCTATTAGGCCAAGGCTTTGACCTCACTACACTTCTCAGAGCTCTGGTACCCCAAACCATAATATCATTCCTCCCATTCCCGGCAAGTCCAAGTTTCCATTTTGCTATGGTCAAGTGGTGGGGCTGTAGTACAGGAAACTCTAATTGCCTCTTCCCTTGCAGTATTTGGCCAAAATAAGTGAATCAGGTGAAACTGCTCTGGGCAGGCAGGGGCCTCCTTAGACCACAAGTGGGGAGCCTAGGGTCCTTAGGAGAGTATGTGGTTCAGTGATGTAAACTCACATTTCTGAAATAAACAACTTCCTTGTATGACTCCTTGATGGGTCCTCAAGCCAGGAGCTTTGGCTCCAGACTCAGAATATGCTCTCCACAGCTGGGCTGGGTCAGACTTCTACAAAAGCAGGGCCACCACCCAATGTATTTGGTTTGCAAACATATACATTTTTTTTTTTTTTTTTTTTTTTGGTGGGGAGATGGAGTCTTGCTCTGTTTTCCAGGCTGGAGTGCAGTGGTGAGATCTTGGCTCACTGCAACCTCCGCCTCCTGGGTTCAAGTGATTCTCTTTCCTTAATGTCTTGAGTAGCCGAGATTACAGGTGCGTGCTGCCATGCCCAGCTAATTTTTGTATTTTTAGTAGAGACAGGGTATTATCAAGTTGGCCAGGCTGGTCTTGAACGCCAAACCTCAAGTGATCTGCCTGGCTCAGCCTCCCAAAGTGCTAGGATTACAGGTATGAGCTACTGTGCCCAGCTGCAAACTTATCTCTACTTCTAGGAGGAAAGTAGCTTTCCCATGAATCCTCAGCAGAAGGGAACCATCTTCCATGGGTTCCAGAGGACTGGACAGCTCTGGCTGTGCAGATCACAGCAACAGGGGAGCCTCAGGGGGCCTGGGGGCTTGGAGAATCCTTGCTGGAGTGCGTGTGAGCACAGGGGGTTGGGGGGATTTAAGGCTCTAGAGCACTTCCATCGCCATTCTTCAAATTCTATCCAACATTCAAAGCCTTGGGGTCTCCTTACCCAGGAACAGAGGCAGAAAGAGGGACACAAAAAGGAATAACCAATAATTCAGCTGAACAACAAACAGTCATGGTTCCTTTTAGGTATCCACCAAAAGAGCAAACGGGTAAGAGAGTTCAGAAAGATAACAATGGAAGGAAGACTACAATGGCAGTCTGTCACACCAGCTGATTCATGCAAGCTTACACAGAGGCTGCTCTGCTGACCTGCTGCAGGTCCACAGTCTGCATGGCCCTTGGCTGCATCTCCCATAGGGAATCAGGGGACATTGTGCTGATGAAACCCTCAACTAGATCAATGATAATTCTTTCCAGTATCAGCCAGACCATCAGTTTCCTAAGTTATAGTGCAGCTCTGAGACACGACAAGACACTAACAGGGCCACCCAGCCTTCTCAGCCTGTCTGCAGTGGATATACTTCTTTCTTTTTTTATTTTTTATTTTATTTTAAGATGGGGTTTCACCATGATGGCCAGGCTGGTCTTGAACTCCTGACCTCATGTGATCCACCCACCTCGGCCTCCCAAAGTGCTAGGATTATAGGTGTGAGCCACCACACCCGGCCTGTGGATATACGTCTTTCTGCCTGCTAGGCTCACTACCAGATTTCTGGCCCCAAAAGCAGTGTTCAGTTCCCAGGCCTGTTGATTTCTGAGAAGCATGTCCCTTCATGTTTCCAAATTGCTTGCCAGATGCAACTCCACAGGTGAAGTAACTTCCTGGCCCGTCTGTTAGGAGAGATCCCAAACCTCATGGGGAAAGGAGACCTTCTCCCTGCTGACTCCTGGCGGTTTAAGACTGCTGCTCTGTCATAGGATTTGAAGCCTTCATGATTCCAGAATGTGCACTCTGTACAACTCGTCCTGAGCTGGCGTGGGCTGCATGTTCTCCCTGTCCCTCTATGTCACTCTCCATTCCAAGGGATGCAGGGCTGTGTCGGGGAGCATGGTCTTAGAGAATAAGAGGTGGCTCTTCTGCATAGTCCTAGGGTCTGTGCTTTGGTGCAAATGACAACCCTCTGTGTGTGCATGTGTTAGTGTCTGTCCAACAGGGTGTCCACAAAGCGAGGGACAGAGGCTTGTCCAGGCAACGAAACCATTCTCACACTAGAGCTGGCTTCCTAATCACAAGGTTGCCCTCTGAGACTGACAGTCTATCCCTGGGCTCTTGGACTGAACTCCACCAGGCTAGGGACAGATAAACAACATGAGTGTGTCTCCCCCAAATAGTATCACTGAACTGTGATAAAAAGGGTGAATTTAGTCACCTTAGGTTGTGAACCTGGTTCTGCCACTTAACTTCTCTGAAGCTAAGTTTCCCCACATGACATGGGGATGGTGGCTGACAGGTTTGGTCAGCCTGTGACTGATACAGGTCAAACCTGTGACTGGCAGGTTTGGTCCTAAGAGTTCAGTACATGTTTTGAACCTTCACGGGCCACTTGGAGAGCAGATTCCAAATCAGCCCACGGCTATGAGACACAGGCTGCCCCTGCTGATATGTGGACAGTGGCGTTCAAGACCACCTGCTCCTCGTTCTGTGGATTTCTTATCCCACAGTCTCACTCCTGGCTGCTTATAATATCCATAGTCTTCTCCTTCCTGCCTCCAAAATCCCTCTGTAATCTGAAGTTAAGGAAAGGCTCAGGTGTCTCTCTTCCCTCGAGTCTGTCTGACAGGGACATGTTCCTCATTCTTAGACAAGATTCTAAGCCGGCCTTTCTTGGATCCTGTATCTTGGACAAAGTCCAGGATAAAATACAAAGCTGAAGCAAAGGGTTGCCTCCAATCCTCCCCTTTCCTTCAACTGCCCCCCCCCCGCCCCCACCCTCCCTTCTCTCTAGGATCTCTGATGCCCATTCAGCATGCACATAGGGTTCCTGGGTTGACAGTCCCCCAGCACTCATTTGTTCTACCTGGGGATTCCTGGCTATTGGGCTATTACCAGCAGTGGCCCCTAACAAGACGATTAAGGCTAATTACAAAGAACCTAATTAACTGGATGAAACGCTGCTGGAACAGTATCCGGAGGAAAGCTGTTCTGACCTTCGGTTGCCGGGAAACAGGCTCCGGACTGTGGCTAATCTGGGGGCAATCTATAGTGAAACCAGGCAATTAAAAAGAGACATGGAGGGGTGAGAGAAAGTTTGGACACAGTATCTTTTAGAGGGCCGTTCTGTCTTTCTTAAAACTTACATTGATTTATTATTATTTTTTTTGAGACAGCGTCTCACTCTGTGGCCCAGGCTGGAGTGCAGCGGTGTGATCTCAACTCACTGCAGCCTACGCTTCTCGGGTTCAGGCAACTCTCCTGCCTCATCCACCCAAGTAGCTGAGATTACAGGGATGCGCCACCATGCCCGGCTAAGTTGTGTACTTTTAGTAGAGATAGGGTTTCACCGTGTTGGCCAGACTCGTCTTGAACTCCTGAACTCAAGCGATCTGCCCACCTTGGCCTCCCAAAGTTCTGGGATTATAGGCATGAGCCACTGTGCTTGGCCCCACGGATAATGTTTTGTAGTTACACAAGACAGACACGTTCATTGTAGAAAAAGGACTGTTTTTATATCAGATTTTCATTTCCACACAGGGTTTTCAGTAGTGGGTGAAGGTTGAGTAATTTTTTTTCAGGGTACAAGGTGAAGCAGGTTGCTACCAAAGTTTTCTCTGTGGGCAAAAAGGGGGAAGCCTCAATCTGAATCCAGAATTTGAGTTTGTCCACTAAGAAATTTTTAAAAATTTAAACCAGTGTCGTGTCAGGCAAGGTAAAAGAGTTTTAACTCAGTCCTATGCTTGAGGGAACCACTGTCTAGATAGAGACACAGGCTAAGGATGCCTGGAAAATGAAATCACAGCTGTGCTCTTGCAAATTATTCTCTTGAGTATGTAATTCTGTCTCCTCATCTAACTGGGGCAGCTTCCAAGGCAGAAGAGACCAGCCCTCTCCAACGGAATGAGTATTTCCTCTAGGTCTCCTCCAGCTCCACACCTCACGTCAGGGTTTTCAGGACTGAATAGGTGTTTGGGCTGTGCTCAGGACTGATAGCAGCCTCTGTTGAATGCTTGCCAAGAAGCCAGGATCAGTTCTAACACCCCCTCCACTCTCCATCCATCTGCAGGAATGACCAGTTGACTGAAAAAAACCAAGCAAGCTGCAATCCCTCTAATCGCATCCAGGCTTCTTCTCCACCCTGACTCCCACACGCTCGGCCCTTCCCAACCCAAGGGCTAACTAGGAGCCGTTGTACACAACTGCTCACCACACATGGGTGGGAGGGTGCTGAGCGCCACAGAGGGCTGGACTGTGCATCCTTGTGTGGGTTGAGCACCAGGAGCCACTGCAACAGCACCTTCCTCTGAGGATCCCATACAGGGTTCATGTGGCCTTGGCAAGCAACCCTCAGATCTGGACGAGATGCCCACCACACTGGTCCTTCCCCCACAGCACATCTCTCCTTGGTCCCAGCACTGGTCGCTTTTTCCTTTTCTCAATGGCTTGCAATGGGTGGGAAAGGGAAGATAATGAGTAAAGTAAGGAAGTGATTTTTGGAGGCCTGTGTCTTTGTCTTTCTCCCCAAACTTACAGCCTCCCTCCCTGACACGGACAGGCTCAGGTAAGCTTGGGAGAGCTGAACTCCCTCTCCAGATAACTAGGATTCTGGAGAGCAAATTCAGGGCTGGGACTCAGGGTGGGTGACACTGGCCACAGCCACAGAGTCAGGAGCCAAAGGAGATCCAGAAGATAGGGTCCCAGCAAGGTGGCAATTAAGCCAACAGGAATTCAGTACTGGAGAGCAACCCAACAGGGCTCAGGCACAAAGGCCAAGGCAGAATGGGGGCCAAGGAGATAGGACTCACTGACACCCAGGAAGCAAATGGTGGGGGGCTCAGCAGTTGGGGAGGGAGGTGGTGGCTGGGGCATGTGATGGGGAAGACTCCACTGCTCCCCTGTGGGTTAGAAGGAAACTGTTAAGGAGATGGTTTTGGGTCAGACTTTAGAGACCAGTGACCTCTGCCCTTTTTGGTTATACTTCTAGAAAATTCTCTGAGTCCCAGTCTATGATCGCTTCCTGGAGAAGGCAAGTGACTGGCAGACATAGGTGAGTACCCTTCTCTTGGGGATGTCAACCCTTCACAGCTCAGCTCTACCTCTTTTGCCTCCGAGGATTGAAATGATTCCAGAAAACGGCAGAATCCTTCCTGGTCTGCCTGCTGGGGAAGGTGGCAGGGGATAGGCAAGGGATTAGCTAGAAATCCCTAACCTCAAGAGATCAAGTAATTGTAGCAGAATTTAGGGCCCTCTTGTTTCACAGTTTTTGGTTAAGACTTCAGTGTTTTTATTTTGTTTTGATTTTGTTTGACTAGGTGGGGCTCCTAGTACATAGCTTTCTGACCTTTTTAATGTCATGATGCACATAAAATGATACTTGTTTGGGACACTTGGAAGAAGCAGAGGAGAGCTGTGTCCCAGATGAAGTTGCTCACGGCTGAAGCTGACCAGCCCAGAGGCTCCGGTGATCCCAGCCACTCTGAGGACTGAGGACAGCAGCATCTCACAGCACTTGGTTGGGAAGCTCCTTTTAGCCAACCCACCATCCCACCCATCATGAAAAGAAGCTTGAGACAGGCTCTAGCTGGCTGGACAGCCTGTCAGCGTTCAATGGGCAGCAGATGATGCTGGAAACTATTAAGAGAGAGGACTCAACAGTTTCCATGGCAGATTAGGGAGAACTCCTACATCTTTCTACCCACATTTGGGGCAGACACCAAGCAGGAAATGACAGAGACAATATTAAGCAGCTGGCTCCTTTAGGCCACCAGAGAAGTGATGAATTTCTTATCCCATGTGTCCACTCTGTACTGGCCTAGTTCCGGGAGTGACCTACAGGCAGACATCTTGGGCTTACTGTGCCTAGATGAGGGGCTTTGAGGTCTACCTTATGATGACAGGCAGGAAGCCTTGTTCATGAAAAAGGCGGAGCACAGTAGGTGCGGCAAGTAGCGGTAGAGAAGGAAAGCCAGTATTTGTAAAGAAGCACTCACCTGGCTGCCGAGACCAAAGATTGGAAAAGGTATAGCTTGGTCCCCAAGCCCACATATTTACAACCTGCCTAGGCAGGGTCTTCCCAGAGCACCAAAGAAACCCTCAAGTGATTAAAAATCAAGAGGCACTGAAAATTCAGCCCCCTCTGAAATACCCTCAGAAGGAACAGTTCTACCAGAGTGCATGGAAATGAAAATGTTGACCTCGGTGTCACCAGTCACCTCTTAGGCTCCCCGACCTATTTCCTTTGCTCTTCACGATTCTCACTACATTTAAATCTCAAAGGAGTCTTCTACTTACCTCTTACTGTGGTACTAGTATTAATTCACATACACAACCCTGTGTGGATGAAATCTTTCCCTGTCATTAGTGTGATCCATGATTTAATATCTGCCTCCTCCTCGGACTCTGAGCCACATGAGGTAGGACTGTGTCCATGTCTGTTGTAGTCACTGATGCATCTCAGTGTTTACCAAGTCCCTTGGACACAGTAAGTGTTCAAAAAATAATTGTTGGACAAATGAATAATAAGTACTACTAGGATATGCCAGGCATTGGGCTACATATACCATCTCTCATCCCATAAAACCACTACAAGGGATGGAATACAAGTCTTATTTTACAAGTGAGAAAACCAAGGCTGCAAAAGGCCACAGGACTTGGTCAAGGGGTACAGCAGGATCTGAACCCATGGCTACTGATTCCAAAGCCGGGGGGCTGCTGTTGCCAGAGCAGTGCTGTACCTTCTGTGGCTCTCTCTGGTCTCATGCACCAGTCTCCCTGCCACACGTGCAGGCACTGTCCAGTATCGCCCAGGTCTTGGCATACCCACAAGGGGCAGGAGCCTACACAGACAGATGCCAACAGTGCCAAAGCAACAGACATAGCTCTGCCCTTGGAGACCTTGAGATCACAAGTGGTGATTAGGACAGAACTGGTGTTATCCATTACTAGAAAGTGACACAACCAAACATGCAGGCAGCCCACTGGCAGGAGGCAACAGGGCACAGGGCTCCTGGCAACCTACCGGCATAGTGGTAATTTGCTAAAGGATGACATTTTAACCTGACCGGCTTCCGCAGCAGCAGCATTTCCAGAGCAACCTGTAGACCCAGGGGAGAGAAAAGGCCAGAGTCAGTTAACAGGTCTGTGTGTCCTAGGGAGACCATCTACCCAAAGGGGAAAAGGGGTTAGCACTGCAGAGGCCAGGGCGGGGGCACTGGAAGGAAACCCAGAGGGAGACTTACCCTAACTAGGGTTTCATGTCTGTTCAGCACCCAGTAAGAGTCTCATTCTAACACCCTCCCACTCCATGCCTGAAGCTAGTTATTCATGCCATGGGAAAACAGAAAGACCTGACTCTTCCCTGGTAAAATCCCACCAGTCCCAGAGATGAGTGGGGCCTCCTCTGACTGGAGGCTGAGTCTCTAGGCAGGGCTTCCGAGGAAATGAATGGTTGATCTGTAACTGTTTAACAGAAAACTTGTGTTTCATTACAACTGAACATCAACAGCTGTATCAGTAACAACTTACTACATATATACCATCCTTCAAGAGAGCCTGGCTAAATAAACTGCTTCAGATCAGCCTCGGGAGCTTTTTTTTTTTGAGACAGAATCTCGTTCTATCGCCAGGCCAGGATGGAGTGCAGTGGTGCGATCTCGGCTCACTGCAACTTCCCTTTTCCGGTTTCAGGCAATTCTCCTGCCTCAGCCTCCCGAGTAGCTGGGATTACAGGCATGCACCACCATGCCCAGCTAATTTTTTGTATTTTTAGTAGAGATGGGGTTTCACCATGTTGGCTAGGATGGTCTTGATCTCCTGACCTCGTGATCTGCCTGCCTCGGCCTCCCAAAGTGCTGGGATTACAGGTGTGAGCCACCACGCCTGGCCCTTGGTAGCTTTTTAAAAGATGCTGCAGGCAGAGTTGAACAGCAGATAGTTTCCAGGAAGAGCAATGCCTGGAATCTTGCTATTCCAAATGTGGTCCATAGAACAGGAATACCTGCCTCACCTGGGAGCTGGTCAGAAAGGCAGAACCTGGGCCCTCCTCCCAACCCCCTGAATCAGAATCTGCATTTTAAACAAGATTCCTCAGATGATGTGTTTGCACATTAAAAGCTCGAGAAGTGCTACTCTGCCACACTGATCTCAAAGGGTTAAGGACAATTCTCCAGCATTCTAGGAAACACTTGAAGGGTAGCATAGTATTGGGACATTTATTTTCACATTTTCATAAAATCAAAATGCAGGAAGCTAGATCTACTACCATGTATTTATACAAAGAGGAAACAGAGGTTAGTGATTGAGTGATCTAGCCAGAAGTCCAGGTTGAGGTCAGGTGCCTGTAATCCTAGCACTTTGGGAGGCCAAGGTGGGAGGATCACCTGAGGTCAGGAGTTTGAGACTGGCCTGGCCAGCATGGTGAAACCTGGTTTCTGCTGAAAATACAAAAACTAGCCAGGTGTGGTGGTGCATGCCTGTAATCCCAGCTACTCAGGAGGCTGAGGCAGGAGAATCACTTGAACCTGGGAGGCAGAGGTTGTAGTGAGCTGAGATTGTGCCATTGCACTCCAGCCTTGGTGACACAGCGAGACCCCATTAAAAAAAAAAAAAAAAAGGAAGTTCAGATTGAGCAGGTCAACTGTTAGCTGAGATTTTGGGAAGACAGCACCAAGACATGGGTTTGGGAACATCAGCAGAACTGTGTTAAAAGTGGGAAAATGGGCCGGGCGCGGTGGCTCAAGCCTGTAATCCCAGCACTCTGGGAGGCCGAGGCGGGTGGATCACGAGGTCAAGAGATCGAGACCATCCTGGTCAACATGGTGAAACCCCGCCTCTACTAAAACTACAAAAAATTAGCTGGGCATGGTGGTGCGTGCCTGTAATCCCAGCTACTCAGGAGGTTGAGGCAGGAGAATTGCCTGAACCCAGGAGGCGGAGGTTGCGGTGAGCCGAGATCGTGCCATTGCACTCCAGCCTGGGTAACAAGAGCGAAACTCCGTCTCAAAAAAAAAAAAAAAAAAAAAAAAAAAAAAAAAAAGTGGGAAAATGGAACCAGTTGGTGAACAGGCAACATTTTATTTTGGTTAGAGGAGAAAAGAGTGCTATAAACATCAAACTGTGGATGATTTCCATAGCAGGGAAGAAGAATCAGCAGAGTAGACAGGCTATTTTAGATCAACTTCTGCTTCAGTAAAGTCGTCTACCTCCATCACTAGAGACTTGGTTTTCTGATGTGAAATGCAAGATGAGGAAAAGAAATTCTAATTTCCTAGGACAGTTATACCCACAATTCTAACTTTAGGAACAGAGGTGGAAACTGAAGTCCAACCGGAAATTTTTTTCTATAGGCTTTAATATCCTGACCTACTCCCTGAGAGAAGGAGTAGGGAGGCATGCTGATTGGTCATCATGCACTGATTGGTCATTATGAATTGGTTGCATGGTATGCTAGACAATATTGAAACTTGGGAAAATACTCTTTAGGAATTTGTAAAGAGTACTCTTTTTTCATGGTTCCTTACCATCACATCACCTTTGGCCTCAAACAGAGAGTGCAAAGCAAATTCAGAATTGGTCCCTCCACCTGGCAATGCACTTGAACAGCACAAATTCAGAAGATTCTCCACTGTTTGGGAATAAGGAGAAACCGGTGAATCAGAGAGAGCTCAGTGTCACGGAAAACATACCAATCCCAGAGCCAGTGATCCCAGTGAGAGAATCAAACCTCTCCCGCCCAGCTCTTCCCATGTGCCAATACCTCTTTGCTGGAGGTCATGGTTTTCTAGCTCTGGCCAGGGCTTCCACACCAGTGTGGCCTTGTGTGTGTCCTGGGCCAGGGCAGAGATATCTTGGAGTTCGGGGATTTCTGCTTGGAATCTCAAGCCAATGTTGATGCGTCTTTAAATGACAAGAACAACAGTGTGGTCTTTAATTTGATGGCCCAGGCCAAGGGCAACTGTCAGGAACTTGAAAAAGAGGGAAACTAGTTCTTTCTTCAAGAACGCAGGGGCATTTCCTCACAGTGTGACCCTAAGATTCCAGGCATGGCTTTTTCACTGGGATAAGGAACAGCTTTAAGATTGGGGAGAAATATTTTAGGAGCAAGGGAGCAGCCGGCCTGGGGCTTCTACAGCTTCCTGTAAATGGGAAAGGGAGAGTGATTAATTCCAAGAGAACAGTTTCCCAGAGCATGGCTAATGGTGCCATTTAACCACAAAAATGGGGGAAACACAAAGCAATTCGTTTCATTTTTTTCTCTCTTTCAGATCCCTTTCACAGACATGATCCCATCCGAACCTCACAGAGATCTGTGACGTAAGAAGGCTGTAATAATTATGCCAATTTGATGAGTCAACCAAAGCCTAGAAAGGTTAACTCGATCAAGATCAAATTACAAAATGGTGTTGGAACTCAGGTTTTCTGATTCCTGACTCAATCTACTCACCACTCTACCACCTGGCCTCTTTTCTGTGTCTACCTATGAAGATAAATCACCTTTCCCTTTCCTAACACCACCCACTGCCCAAGCAAAATTAAAGTACTTAACAAGCCCATTTGGAGGACTGGCCAAGAGTCAGGGAGGGGAGGGGGGACATGAGGACATTCAGAAGGTGCCTTTTAAAGAATGAGCCACCCCGAGGGAGATGCTTCCGGGTCACTGGGGATAAGAAAATACATGGCTACAACCATGCTGTCTGCGGAGCCAGACATAGGGATGCTAGGTTCTCTGAATACAGGGCTTCATGCTTTGACCATGCCTTTAGTCTTTGGCAAAGGCCTTGGAATACAGGCAACTATTGTGTAGGGAAACAACAGTACTCAAGAAATAACCGCGATCCTACAAATTCTACAACTGCTTTCTCAGTGTAATCCTCTGGCTACAAAAGTATTAACTACACTTCTCAAGAAGTGAAGCCTTCTGTTCTAAAGAGTAATTGACTTTTCCTTACGGTTCAACATCCACAGTCTGCTCTCCAGGCCCTGGGGTGACCGTCACATTGCTGCCATCGATGCTGTCTAAAACACAAAAATCAGAGGTCACTAGTCAACAGGGAAGGAATGTTGAAAAAGACTAAAGCAAATGAGCAGTTACCTAACCAGCCATAACAGGGCTCCTCTCCTACCCAACTCCTGCCAGAGTTACCCCTGACAGTTTCCAGGGCGCTGGGTGGAGTATAGAGCTAAATGACTTAGGGTTACCCATTTCTCATACAGAGTGAGAAGAAGCCAGTTGTCCCACAATGGTCGGCTAAGCAGTATGATTTCTATGCAATTTTTCTTGCGCCAGAAAGAGATCCTAGCCTCTCTGTGCTTGATTTTTATAAAGCATGCTAAAATGTCAAGGCTTGATCTTAAATGTAATGCCTAATCTTATTTGTACATCTGCTGAGTACGTTTTCTTTTCTTTTTGAGACAGTGTCGCTCCTTGCCTAGGCGGGAGTGCAGTGGCTCTATTTCAGCTCACTGCAGCCTCTGCCTCTCGGGTTCAAGCGATTCTCCTGGACTTAGCCTGCCGAGTAGCTGGGACTTCAGGCGCCTGCCACCACGTCCCGCTATTTTTTTTGGAGAGGGAGTCTCGCTCTGTCTCCCAGGCTGGAGTGGAGTGGTGCGATCTTGGCTCACTGCAACTTCCGCCTCCCAGGTTCAAGTGATTCTCCTGTCTCAGCTTCCTGAGTAGCTGGAATTACAGGCACGCGACACCACGCCCGGCTAATTTTTGTATTTTTAGTAGCAACGGGGTGTCACCATGTTGGCCAGGCTGGTGTTCAACTCCTGGCCTCAAGTGATCCACCTGCCTTAACCTCCGAAAGCGCTGGGATTACTTATGTGAGCCACCACGCCTGGTCTCATTTTTTCTCTCCTGCACGATCATCGGGGGCTGTCTTAGAAACTGGGTGAACATTTCAACTGTTTCCTTATCCCAGAGACTGGTGATCACTTTACACATTTGTCTCCCAATTAGGCTGTGATTCCCTCGAGGATAAGGGCTATGCATTCCAAGTCTTTATTAGCACCCAGCAGTGTGTGCTACATACAGCCAATAATACTCCGCCAAAGTCTGTGGGATAGATGAGAAAGCTAAAGAAAAGGGGGCCTCCCGGGACTCTACCCAGCACCCAGAGCCTAGGAGGAGGCTAAAGGGTGACTCACTGGAGCGACACAGCAGCACCCGCAGTGTGGGTGCCAGGGGCGTCAGGGGCAGCTGCGGGTGGGCGCCAGGGCCGTGGCCGGAGATGAGCACATTGCTGAAGAGCCCCGAGCCCTGGCGCACCGGGCTCAGCATGGGTGGGGGCGTGTAAGGGGGCAGCTCGTGGGCGGGGTCCAGGAGCAGGTGGTCTCCGAGGACGCGCGGGGAGCGCAGCTGGCTCTGGTACAGGGTGGCGCCAGAGTAGGAGGCAGCGGGGTTCGGGTTGTAGGAGGGCGGCGGCGGGATGAAGAGTGGCTCCGGCCGGTGCCGGAACTTTTTCTTCTCCTGCACGGTCTTCAGGGGCTCCTCGGCTTTGGGCACGCTGGGCTGCTGCTTCTTGGGGATTTCCTAAAAGCGGAACAACGAAATGATTCGAATACTTCAGCTTCCCCTGGAGGCCAATTCCACAGGTTCAGGGAAGGGGGCCTTCTACTGTCTGAGCAGACAGACCTTATGCTTGACCGCCCCCCACCCCGCCACCCCGCGCCACCACATCCATTTCAGGCAAAGCGAGTTCTGGCTGCTAGACTAGGAAGAAAACTAAGGTTTTGGAAGAAATCCCTAATTTCTGAAAGAGCTGGGGGCGATAGGAATAGTGGGTGGTCAAGAAGTAATAAATTCAATGTCTTCATTGCTTATCACTACATTCCCATCTGTTTGAGTGGAATCCAGCTGAGTGGGCTCTTTGATTCCCCCTGTGCTCCCCAGGGACGGACATCAGGAACAGATACCACATGTTCTGAGAAGGGGACAGAACAATCTCTTCAGGGAAGCTGGCACCGAGACCCGTGGGGCAGGACGAGGGGGCTCAAGCCTAGCCAAGGCTCCTAAGGCCAGCGACCCACACCCGGCTCTCCTGGGTCACTTGCAGCGCGGGGGAGAACCCGCGATGATCTCTAAGGCCCTTTCAGTGTGCTCACCTAAACACCGATCTGGTTGACCTCCCCCCTCACCGCCCCTCACTATTGCTCCCAGAACTTGTAGCTTATTTGTAGCAAACTCTTCTCTGAGGTTGGCTTCCTGTCAGGAGACTTAGTTTATTTTAATGGCAGCGGAACCAAGCCCAGTCTGGAAGGAGGATCTGCCACATGGATACATACATACTAATAAGTAAACAGATGCACGTAAACAGATGAGCAGGGCATGCCAAAGCCAAACCGGAAACAGACTCGGGCTGTGTGGTAGCATCAGCCCAGAAAAGCTGGAAGCTGGGTGTGGCTGCACAGGCGGTGTGGTTGGGAGGGGCCACGGGGATACCTGAGGGAAGGTTCTGGACAGTTTGGCGTGACCTCTCGGGCCCTGCAGGCCAGGGGCCAGTCACAGCTGCAGGTCCTGGAGAGTCCTGAGCCCAGGGTGGCGCCTGGGTAGGAAGCAGCAGGGGGTGATGGGAAGGGCTGGCCACGGTCATGTGACCAGCTGCCTCCAGGCCATGTGACCTCTGCTCTGTCTCCTCTCCCTCCAGGGCGTCAAGGCTCTGACGCCTTCTGTTTCTCCCTCAGCTTCCTTGCCTTCCACGGTGCCATCCTGGCCTCTAGGAGGGGTGTCTTGGGAGGCAGAGGGTCCCAGGCTCCCAGCTCCAGAGTGAGGTTCCTAGCCCCGACCTCACCCCAGGGGGCTCTCCTTAGGCCAGCGCGCTCAACTGCCTCCTCTCTCCACCAGAGGGCTCCTCAGCGCCTGAGGCTGAGGCGGGAGAGGGGCTGAGGAGAATGGGGGAAGGAGGCTGGTGCCCCTTATAAGGAAAGCAGCCCTGAAGTTATAGCCTACCCTGTTCCTGGGTAACAGATGAGGTCATCTAAGAACATGTAGACCTCATGCTATCTTAACGCAGCACTGCAGTCCAGACCCTCTGATTACAGGGCCAGAGGTCCCTTTGGGGCTCCCACTCCTCCAGCTTCTTGTCCTGTACTGCAGCTCTAAACCTGGATTTTTTTTTGAGATGGAGTCTCGCTCTGTTGCCCAGCCTGGAGTGCAGTGGTGTGGTGCGATCTCAGCTCACTGAAACCTCCGCCTCCGGGGTTCAAGCATTTTCTGCCTCAGCCTCCAGAGTAGCTGGGATTACAGGCACCCACCACCATGCCCAGCTAATTTTTGTATTTTTAGTAGAGACGGGGCTTCACCATCTTGGCCAGTCTGGTCTTCAACTCCTGACCTGGTGATTCATCTGCCTCAGCCTCCCAAAGTGCTGGGATTACAGGTGTGAGTCACCACACCTGGCCTAAACCTGGATTTTCTGATCCTCCAGGTAAAGGCTGTGAGCCACTGGGCCACAGAAGCCACCTAGAATGTCATGCCTGGTTGCCACTTGAGAGGAAGCACTTACAGTGTTCCACCCCACCAAACTATTTGAACACTTTGGGGGTAAGACCAAGCACTGAAAACTTTAAAAAGCTGTCCACAGAGAAGGATGAGAACCACTGATGAGCTGGCTAGGAGCCAAGCTGGGATGGGCACTCAGGGCTCTGTCCTGGATGTTTTAATTTCTTTACATCAAGTGCCAAGACCTTGTTCACAAGTATTCAGTCCCACCTACACGTGTCCAATTCACAATCCCCCCAACCGACAGGTCTCTCTCACCCTTCCATTAAGTCAAGATCATCCTTCCCTTCCAAACGCTGCTCGGAATGCTAATGATGATCTCCTGAGCAAACTCCCTTGCCCCTCCTCGGTCCATAATGACTTTTGCTACCCAGGTGTAGTCCCATCCAGTCACACCTGGGGCATCCGTTTCTTGTCTGCCCCTGTCTTTTTTCTCGCCATCTTGAATGGGTGATGGTGGCAGGGGGTGTGCCTGGGACTCTGACCCCCATGTGATTATGAACCCTTAATTGAGAGCTCCCCAAGGGGAGAAATAGTGTTTCTCCCACCAAATCATGAACTCCTCTGGGCAAAGAGGGAGCTTGGATGTGTCATTTCATCTCTCTACCTGTTGCTGGCCCCCAAGTTCTGACAGCTTATGAGAATCTTCCCCCCAGTTCTCCATCAGTTTCTCTTCTTTTGAGGACTTGATATTAACATAGAGAACCATAAGGGTTTTTTTCTAGACTTTTCTAGTTCTATTAATTATCCTCTCTCCCTCTATCCTGGCCCAGCCTCACCCTATGCCCCCTAGACTCTCAGCAGCTGCCTATTCCTAAGGACAAATATGACCCCAACACACCACTCTGTGGGGAGATAGGTTTGATATTGTCAACCACACAGATCATAAATTCCCTAGGGTCCAAGAGACAGACAGAGACAGACAGACAGACAGACAAAGAAACCCTTCCCAGAGCCAAGGTAAGCTCTTTGAGTGAAGCACTTAGAATTGGAGAAAGGAGAACAGTGAGTGAGGAAAACAAACCCCTTTGCTTTCCTGAGACTAGGGGTGGGTGGCTCTCAGTGGAACTACTTTGGGAACTTTAACAAATTAGGCTCTCCAGGGGATTTAAGCAGACAAAATATTAAGCATCTGGTAAGGCTGATTGTCAGAATGGATGCCAGGGCTACTGCATTCAAGATGGCACCTGCTGTGCCAGTGTTTACCTCTTTGGTAGTGGATTTGGGAGGTCTGGAGATCCTGGGGAAGGGGCCAGGGCCTGGGCAAGCTGCTTATTTTTTGGTATACAGTACTTCCATATTTCAGTAACGGCTATGATTGGCCCAGTGAGTCCCAGCTGAATGATCATCTCTGATGATCTGGGAACACTTTCGGGTCTCTCAGAATCTAACCCAGGCCATTAGTCTGGCATCAAGGATGGGGTTCCCAACGTGGCCACAGGGGTTCAGCCCTGAGAGGCCAAGCCATGTTGAGCTCAGGTCAGTGACTCTGGAAGGGCTGCCCCATCTCTAAGAAAGCAAAGGGATGTCCCCACCCAGGCAGGTGGGGCAGAGCAGCAACTCACAGCAGGCGTGCGGGGGGCAGCCCCTTGGGGTGAGTGTGGGGGAGAGAGGGTCATCCTCACGAGCACAGGCATCTCGTCGTCCGACATCGAGCTGGCTGGCTTGTCTCTGGCGGAGGGGGCGGCAACGGTGCTGTTGGTGAACCCCTGAGAGCTGGGCTTGGGCGGGAGAAGCTTGACAGGGACAGACACAGGCATGACCATAGGCGTGAGGCTTTCTGCCTCGGGAGGGAGCTGTGGCGGCGGCGGAGGCGGAGGCGGAGGCGGCAGTGGCGGCTGGGGCTGAGGCGGCAGGACCTTCTCTCCTTCCTCCTACACAGACAATAAAGGCTTTGATCCTGGGCTGAGAGAAGCTCTCACAAAGGGGATGCACTTTGCTTTTCCTGAAAGATTCCAGGACATCAGGTATGGGTGATAACCACTGCAGGGCGATTTCCTTCCTGCAATCCTGAGTCCCTCGGCTGGAGTGATGCCAGCTGATGGTAGAGGAGGCCATGGCCTCCATTTTCTACAGCTAAAAAATCTTGACCATTTATTACTTGTGTATTAAGCAATTTTTAAAAATTATGTGGTTGTCATTGCTTTTAAAGGAAAGGACACGAACTTGTCATCAGTCCAAACAAGGTAGGATCTTTTGCAGTTTTTAATTCTATGGGCCTTAGTTTATTCATTTGTCAAATGGAAATAGGCATTCCATCCTAAATTTTATTCAGTTCAGGAAACCACACTGGAGATACAAAATATGTACTTTTTTTTTTTTTTTGAGATGGAGTTTCACTCTTGTTGCCCAGGCTGGAGTGTAATGGCACAATCTCGGCTCATCGCAACCTCCACCTCCCGAGTTCAAGGGATTCTCTCACCTCAGCCACCCGAGTAGCTGGGATTACAGGCATGCACCACCACACCTGGCAAATTTTTTTGTATTTTTAGTAAAGATGAGGGTTCTCCATGTTGGTCAGGCTGCTCTTGAACTCCCGACCTCGGGTGATCGACCTGCCTCAGCCTCCCAAAGTGCTGGGATTACAGGTGTGAGCCACCATGCCCGACCCAAAACATGTACTTTTAACAAGTAAAGACAAAAGCTTTTTTAAAAAACATAATCTGGCATGGCCAGGAGATGGAGTCATCTGGGTAATCAAAAATTCTGGTCAACAAAGATTTAATCCCATAGATTTAAATTATAAGTAACAATATTCAAAGAATTCTGAGAATTTTTTTGATTTTACTCTAACTTTAAAACTTGTGGATAGTTTACTATCTGGATAGCCTACCTTGGATAATCTGGAGGGTATTTAAGGATCTTTGGATATTGAGCCAAACGCCACTGCATCAGTAAACAGAAAATTCTGGCGGAGAGCCTGATGGTTACATTAGCTGTCTCTGGCTGTTGCCCACTAATCTGGAAGGCCCCAGTGGCCCCGGTCTTGGGTGTGTCAAGCAGCAGAAGTTTAAAAACAATATTGCATTTACATGTTTTCGTTTGCTGTCTTCTCCAGGAGGCAGAGAGAGAGGCTGGGATGCCCTAAAAGGCTTTCCAGTGCCTGTTTTTGACCCTTCCTCACTGTAACGCTGGGGAAGTGGGGTTCTTTGACCTGGCTGGCTACCAGCCTCAGAGCCTAAGCACTCCTGTCAAGGGAGGACTGTGCCTCGCCATGTCCTGCGTGGGGCTCACATCACTCTCTGACGGCAGCAAAGCAAAGCAAGCAGCACATAGCCCAGAAAGGATCAGGGATTGGCTCCTGCTAACCTGTTTGAGGTTGGGGGAGGCCCTCATTCCCCCGTGGGACCGCATGTGGCCGTTCAGGGCAGGCAGGTTCTTGAACTCCTTCAGGCAGATGGAGCACGTCAGCTTGTTCTTGGCATCAAACTGCTCCCCAAACACTCCTTTGGGTTGGCCACTGCTCAAGGGTAGAGCCAAATGGAGAGGACACATATGACGAGGAAGGGAAGAGAAACAGTGACTTGCCACAAGACCTCATACCCACCACAGACCCATTCCATTCATCCAGTGGTCCCATTGTCCACGGCACCACTTGCATCACCCCAATGCCCTTTAGAGAACTAAGCCCAATTTACAGATGAAAAACTGAGGCTCAGCATGGGAAAAGACCTTCTCAAAGTCATGCAAGAACTGAACAACATGTCCTTCTTCATGCCAGGCCTTTAGGCAATGGATTTTGACTTGGGAACTATTACCCTTCCGGGGTCAGCCTGAGCCCAGCTCCTCCAAAAGCCTCCCCGCTGGAGACCCTGGTGCAAGTTCCTGAGGCAGCCCCATATCGCACACTTCATGTTTATCGGGTTTGGCCAAATCTTTAGTTACCATGCCCATGAGATGAGGAAGCAAGTCTGTACTGTTCACTGCTGCATTCTCAAAGCCTAGCTCTACGCTTGGCACACAGTAGGCACTTAATAAATACTGAATGAATGCAGAGTGGACAGAACGTGGTCTTTGCGGTCAATCCCAGCATTGTTACTTGATGTTTAACCTTAAGCTCTTTGAGCCTCAGTTTTCTCATTTGTAAAGTAACAATAGTAAGAGCTAAGAATTACTGAGTGCTTCCTGAGTATAGGCACATCATAATCATACCCACCCTCGTTGGTTACTCTACTACACAGAATGCATAGGGCTTCGCACAGAGCAGGCACTCAAACACAACAGCTGCTATCATTTCTACATATTTCTTTGAGGAATTGACTTTGAATTTAGAAATGAATCATGAGAAACACCCCAGAAAATCCTCCCAGTCTCCCAAAATACCAACGAAGCTCCACTCAACTTACCTCGACTCAGGGGAACCTGGCTGGGCTCTCCCATCAGGTAGGTGCATCTAGTTTTGAGCCAAACAGGACACCGAAAAAAAGAAGAGAAAAAAGAATGTGTTCTGAAGGGAGCAGTCCTGGAGCGGTGGGAACACCAGGTACCCTTCCAGGACTCTTTCTGCCGACTACCTCATGCTGACCCCGTGCATGTCCACTTACACCCTTGCTCTTCTGCATCTGACTTCTGTCCCTGAATTGGGACCTTGACTTGGGACCACCACCCAACTCCTGGAGCTGCTGCCAGCCACAGCAAGCCCACCAGGATGCAGCCCCCCACCGTGTTCTTTCCTGTTCTCTCAGGGTACACACTCCATGCAGACAGGCTCCATTCCCATAAGGGGCACAGAAGAAAGTTGGAAGACACAGCATCATATCAGGAGACCTCCTGATGGAATTCCTTTTATTTTTTGGAGACAGGGTCTTGCTCTGTGACCCAGGCTGGAATGCAGTAGCATGATCGTGGCTCACTGCAGCCTCTACTACCTGGGCTCAAGCAATCCTCCTGCCTCAGCCTCCCAAGTAGCTGGGACTGCAGGTATGTGCCACCACACCCAGCTAAATTATTATTATTTTTTTTTGTAGAGGCTAAATTTTTGATGTTTTTTTGGTAGTTATGTTGCTTAGGCTGGTCTCCAACTCCTGGGCTCAAGCCATCCTCCCACCTTGGCCTTCCAAAGTGCTGGGATTACAAGTGTAAGCCACCATACCTGGCCCTGGAATTCTTCTTAAAAAGCCTTAGCCAAATCATCTCATTCTTATATTTACAAAGGCTCTCAGTTACTACTGGGTCTGAGCCCCAGATAAAACAATGTCAAGGGGAAGTTCATCTCTGGCCTTCGATCTCCATCAGAACCTTCTCTCTCCCCAACCAGTTCCCATTTGGGGTCACCTCCTCCTCAGACACTGCTGACATATTGACTGTAGCACTTGGAATAAGCCAAGGCATGAAAAGTGCCCAGCACATAGTAGGCTGTTTCTGATCAAATACTTTTTGGAACAAATCAAGGTTAATTATGGTGTACAGGCTGAATCAGCCTGCATTCATGTTTTGTTTGGCTAGAATGTTTTGTTTGGCTAAATTCTTATTGAGAATGCTATGGGATGGGGCATCTGCTCTTTAGTCCACAGTCACCACCACTCCCTAATGCCTCATACCAGTCAGGTTTTGCTTATTTACTTTCACAGCCTAGATCATGTGGGAAGCTAAGATTTTTGTCTCTGCAGTCATACATGGTATCCCCTTTGGCAGACTCACAATGCATACTACCATATTAAAGGCCACAAAAAGTCCTGCAGTACAGCAACCTGTTTCACTTTGGGAGGCGGAAGTGAGAGGATCGCTTGAGGCCAGGAGTTCAAGAGCAGCCTGGGAAACATAGGGAGACCTGTCTCTACAAAACTAAACTAAACTAAAGGAAGTACCCAGGTTTGTGGCATAGACCTGTAGTCCCAGCTACGTGGGAGGGTGAAGCAGGAAGATCGTTTGAGCCCAGGAGTTCAGGGCTGCAGTGAGCTATGATTATATCACTGCACTCCAGCCTGGGTGACAGCAAGACCCTATCTCTAAAAAAAGAAAAAAGAACTCCCTAATTTATTTATCCAGAGAACCCACTGTTTCCCCAGCAATATCCATTAAACACTGCGGAACAGCTGTTCTGAGCAATATACTTTGAGAAATGCTGTCATAATGTGGTCTCCCTCCCAAAGGAGGACCAATGTCACAGAACATATCCTGAGCACACAGATCCAAGGGAACTGAGACACCACCACTGTGTGGTTCCCTGGCATCCAACTCAAGGTCTTAACCATTACATGAATCATTTAGGGCATGATATGGTACTCTGGCCATCTCCTTAGTAGATTATAAGCTCCATGGCCAAAGGACTTAATAAAAATTAATTTTGTATTCCAAGTGCCTGGCACAGACAGTGCGTGACACATGTAGGTTGATGTTTGTATAATGAATAAAGAACAAAATGGTTGACGGGGCTTGAAGACAGGATTGGGCACGGCAGACTCGGCCCTGGCTGACCCTGTAGCACACTGGGTATTGGGAGAAACTTCCACTGGGAGAATACCTGGGGCCACATGGCACTGGGAGACAGCTGCTGATGCTGAGGCCCCATGTTGTTGAGGTGGATCCCACTGGGGGACAGGAGGGGCCGATGGGGGAGGGTGCTGCTGATCCGGGTCAGATCCGAGCTTGCTGGGTCTCCCATTCCTGCGTCAGGAGCCCCCAGGTCCCCGTGGGAGCTCAGCATGGCCTGGGCCTGTCTGTCGCTAGAGTAGGTCTTCAGCTGACTGTCCTCACGCTGCTGGTGCTGGGGCAGGTGGCTCTGCTGGTAGAGGGGGTGGCTGTAGGGCTGCTGGGGCTCCTGGTAGTAGTACTGGGACATGGAGCCCAGAGGAATCAGCTGGACAGTGTGTGCCTGCTCTGGGGTATACTGGTGAGGGTCCCTGTGATAAGAAGGGGGCTGCAGGTGCATCTGTTGCTGCTGCTGCTCTTGCAAGTGCTGCATCATGGGTTGGGGCTGATAATACTGAGGTATCTGCATCGAGCCCTGCCGCTGCGGCAGCTGTAGCTGCTGTGGCTGCGGCTGCGGCTGCGGCTGTGATGGGCGAATCTGTTGCTGCTGTGTCTGTATTTCTTGCATGGAGATACGCTGTTGCCCAGCTTGCTGCTGTTGCTGCGGTGGGTAATACTGGTGCTGCTGCATCTGTTGCATGTGCTGTGACAGCATCTGCGAGGCCTGCAGCGGCTGTCCTCCCTGCGCTGGCACCTGAGCCAGTTGCTGCTGGTAGTCATAATACAGGTGCCCTTGGGTGGGGTGCTGCCCGACCTGAAGAGCTGGTTTGGACAGCCCGCCAGTGAAACCAGGGTGAGGCTGCTGGGGCACCTGCTGGTAGCGGGAAGGGATAGCCGGTGCTGGGGGCTCCATGGGCTTCTGAGACAGCAGCTGGCGGAGGGCACTGTCAGGGGCTCCATCCATCACTGCTGACTGGGTGTGCAGCACCTGGGCCATATTGTTGACCTGAATTCGCAGGTTTTGGTTGGCAAACACCTGGGTGAAAGAGTCCAGCTTGTGCAAGACACCGCTGGTAAGCTTCTGGGTCCGGATCTCGCTGGCCTGGGAGTAGGTGTACTGGTAGCCATCAGTGGGCTCAGCCTGGGCTGGTGCCCCCCACATCATGTTTGAGTTGGCCAGGTTACCACGTAGCTGGACATGGTTTCCAGGCCCTGCATGACTCCCCCACCCTCCCTGTCTCGAGGTATCCATTTGGCCAAGGTTTTTGGAGCCAACAGGCAAGCCCAGACCATCCCGCGTATCTTGAGGGAAATGGGGGGAGATGGGCGAGGCCTGAGGGGCATCCATCCCGCCCCCTGTTACTGCAGTCCCATAGTTGTGGTTCAGCCCGCTGTGGACACCAAGTGGTGGCTGTTGGTAGAAAAGGTTCTCACTACCATGCGCCACATGGTTGGTCTTGTACAGTTGCTGATCACCCATGCCGTCTGCCTTGGTTGTGAACGTTCAGCCACAAAACCATAAAAAAAGGTAAATAAAACAAACCCAAAAGGACTGAAACCCTGAGAAGCTGAGAGAAAGTGTCGGCACTACTCCACGGCTGACATGTCTGTGAATGTGGCTGGAGCCAGGTGTTCCTGTTGGCCTGTACCACTCATGTGCAGGGCAGGGGGTTTTACATCCTCTCCCTGGCTGAGGTACGGACCACACAGCACTGTGGTGAGGAGACGTCGCTCACACCTGCAAGGCAAGATGCAAAAGACAGGAAAGGATTTATTTGGATGTTTTGTGATGAGCAATTGATATCTACCATGACCAGTGATAAAAATAAATATATAATCCCAGCTACTTGGGAGGCTGAGACAGGAGATTTGTTGAGGCCAGGAATTTGAGACCAACCTGGGCAACCTAGCGAGATCCTGTCTCTATAAAAATGTTTTTTAAATTAGCTGGGTGTGGTGGCATGCAACTGTAGCCCCAGCTACTCAGGAGGCTGAGAAAGGAGGATCACCTGGGATCAGGAGTTTAAGGTTGCAATGAGCTATAATTGTACCACTGCACTATAGCCTAGGTGACAGAGTGAAACCCTGTCTCTAAAAATATATGTATGAGAAACAGGGGACTCGAGCAGAAATAGCCAGGGTCATGCACTCCACACCCTTTACACTGAATCCGCGGATCTTAACTCTCACATGAGAGGTAAACTCTCTTACTTTCGAGCCATTGTTCAATGGCTCAGTAGTTCATTGATTTGTTAATTCATTGTTTTGTTCATTGATTAATTCATCCATTCTTCTGGGACCCTGCTATTGGAAGCCCAACACTATTCTAGGACCTGTGGGAAATATAAATAAGTTTAAGATATGCATTGATCAATTTATCTGTTCAACACATATTTATTAGACACCTACTAACTGTAAGGTACAATGCTGAGAAATGACTAAGACACAGGCCTGCTCTCACGCATGTAGTTAGAAGAGGTGATGAGTCACATGAATAATTACAAAGGAGAAAAAGATACATGTAATCAAAAGGCAAAACTAAGAGAGGCAGGGTGTGATGGCACACACCTGTACACCCACTTATCAGGAGACTGAGGTGAGGATTGCTTGAGCTAAGGAGTTCAAGACTAGCCTGGGCAACATAGCAAGACCTTATAAAAAAAAAAAAAAAAAAAAAAAACGAGCAAGACAGATGGGAATTCCGAGACTGGAAAGCTTAATTGCAGCAGAAGAACAGAATTGGAGAAGGTTTCCAGGAAGAGTACTGTACATGTTAGTTTGCCTTTCAGGTCAACATAGTCACCTGTCTCCTTGTGGTTCCTGATCAGATAAACATCTGTGTATAGGGGTAACCTCCTGGCCAGAAGCTTTTGAGATGATTTGGCACAAAGAAGTAGGCTGGGCTGATCAGATTCTCACTTGTAGAAACACTAATTAGGACATTTGCAGAGACTGGTCTGGGTCCCTGTGAGTCCATTCAGGTTCTTCAGTGAACTTCAAACTGAGGTGTGAACTCCATGGAACACATGAAGACTTTGCAAGCATTGCATATGTATCTAAAGTTTTAAGAGGTTCAATTCTTGGCTGGGCGTGGTGGCTCATGCCTATAATCCCAGCACTCTGGGAGGCTGAGGTGGGTGGATCACCTGAGGTCGGGAGTTGGAGACCAGCCTGGCCAACATGGTGAAACCCAGTCTCTACCAAACATACAAAAATTAGCTGGGCGTGGTGGTAGGTGCCTGTAATCCCAGCTATTCAGGAGGCTGAGGCAGGAGAATCACTTGAACCTGGGAGGTGGAGCTTGCAGTGAGCCAAGATTGTGCCACTGCACTCCGACCTGGCAACAAAGCAAGACTCTGTCTCAAAAAAAAAAAAAAAAAAAAGAGAGATTCAATTCCTAGATCCTCAACTTCTATAGAAATTCTTTCTAGAACTCATGAGTGACAGAGGTGCAAGCTGTCCTTTTAGGCCTTCTCTTTCCTAATCACCCTCCTTTACTTTTGTAAAGTAAAAAAGAAGAGCAAACTTTTCACATACTGCCGCAGGGAGAACGAAAAATGGAAACACTATAAATGCTGATCCTTGTCTCATGCTAGCATTGCATAATATTCATCTATGGATAAAGAAATTGAAAATAGAGCTCAGCACCAGCAATATTTTATTTCTGGACCTGAGTGGTAATCTCACTCTGCTGTAATTCAAGCTAATTAACATACAACATATACAACTGTATGTATATGACTGTGACCTGGTCATATACATACAGGTGTATATGTTGTATGTTAATTTAAAAAAGTTTATTTAAAAAAGTCACCCCCCACAAAAAGTCACCAGTACCAACACTTCATTTAGAGATGCATTTTCAATATAATTTAGCTATTTATGTTTACTATTCATCCAAATTAGTAATACATTTATGTTGTTTTGATCAATTGTGTACCATTAGTAATTGCGGTAACTCAAACCAGAAGAACTTTTTAATACTTAGATCTTTGATTTTAGAAATTGAAAAAATTAAAACAGTTTCAACTTAATATAAAATTGTTACAGAGAAATATGGTAGGGAAACAAGTGAAAAAGTCCCAAGCATAAAAATATATTACATATATTACATTGGGCTAAAATTCCATAGGGTAAGTGAAATGAAAATAAAATTTCCAGAAGAAAAAGGAACACTGACTATTAAAGAGGTGGTGCATGCATTTTTAAAGTAGATGACGGGAGGTATTAAATTGCTATGGTGTTTAGATTCTACTGGATACATTTAAAACAGTGATGTAATAGTTTTGCTTAAAAATATCAATGTTTACAATATACTGGAAATTGTATCTTCAGCAAATGTATGATAAAAAAATGTAGATGTAAACTTAAAACTGTATGAAGGGGCAAAGACTTTTAAATGATTCTTTTAGGGAGAGGATTTTAAACAGAAAAGTCTGAAGACCACTGCAGCTGTCCCCCTCTACCTGAGAGTGAGCCGAGCTGGCCTCTGTCCCTTTTACAACTACAAGAGAAAGAGATGGAAAACTTCAGATGAGGGGTTACATTTGGTGAAGGGAAGGGTGGAGGAAGGCGAGCTGCGGGAGGAAGGGGAGGCTGGCCAAAGATGGCTGCAGCAGTAAGAGGGTGCTGGGCGTCAGGAGCACTGAGCTTCAGAAGCAAGGAGACTAATGACTCTTGCTGCTCAAAGGGTGGTCCAGATCACCTGTGAGCTGGTTAGAAATGCAGAATCTCAGGCTCCAGCTCCAGCTATTGAATCAGAATCTGTATTTTATTGAGATGATCCCCACTCCGAAGTGAGTTATGTGCACATTAAAATTTGAGAAGCACTGAATTAGCAGACTCTTGCTGCATCCAGGTGAGACACAAGTAAGACCAGAACTCAGATGACAGTGAGCAGGGAGAGAGGAAGAAATAAGAGAAACATCCCCTGTCTTGCCAGGGGGAAGCAACTCTCCTTCCTTGAAATGCTCTGGCCTTCTGGGGCTTATGAGCTAGTCTCAGACATCTACTCCTTTCCTCACACATATTCTCTCCGAAAGCCTCATCCACCACCCAACCCTTCTGACCCCCAGACTGCCCCCTGCTCAGATGGTCTGAGATCCGGATCAGCTGCCCACTCTACATCATCATGTCCGTGTTCAAAGGCAACTCAACATCATCTCTCCCAAACTGGATGCTGTTTTCAAAGAGCTCTTTCCTTGCATCTGCCATTCTCCCTTCCACTTCCAGAGCCTTTGTACATGATGCCCCTCACCATTTGGAGAATTTTTCCCCTCCTCACCCTCACTGGGTATCCTTCATATCTCAGCTCAAACTATACCTTCTCAGAAAGTTCACCCTGACCCCAATCCCCAAGTCTACATCAGATTCCTTTCTTATATGTTCTCATAAAACTGTATTCCTTCCCTTTAGGCTACTCTCCTCCGTTTGTAATTGTACTTCCACCAGTGCAATTATTTGATTAATGGATCTTTCTCTATTAGAGCAGGAATCACGTCTGTTTTTTTTTTTTTTTTTTTTTTTTTTTTTTTTTTTTTTTTTTTTTTTTTTTTTTT